CCTGGGTAGGTCACCCATTGCAACAAGACCACTCTTTCTTTTTCTACTTAGACAGACCGCCCATGAAAATAAACCACTTTGAGTATATGTGGGCAAGTCGCCCATAAAAATAGACCCTCTTTGTTTAGAAAATAAAGGGTTTGGATACACATAGAATTTTGGTTCTGGTTAGAGGGGATTAACGAAAGGAATCTCAGTCTATTTTAACCACACTAGATTTTGGTTCTGGTTAAAGGGGATTGGCGAAAGGAATCTCAATTTACCCTAACCAAACATGATTTTGGTTTTGGTTAAAAGGGATTGGTGAAAGGAATCTTAGTTTAGCCCAACCACACCAGATTTTGGTTTTGGTTAGAGGAGATCGATGAAAAGGAATCTCAGTCTATCCTAACCACACATAGGATTTTGGGTCTGGTTAGAGGGGATTGATGAAAGGAATCTCAGTCTATCCTAACCACCATATAGGATTTTGGTTCTGGTTAAAGGAAATCGATGAAAGAGATCTCATTTTAGCCCAATCACACACAGGACTTTGGGTCCAGTTGAAGTTTCAGGTCAACCAAATTTTGAGAAGTCCAATTTTGCGTATCTTTATAATACTTACTACGCAAAATCTTTGATCTATACACATTGTAAAGAGAGGAGCAACTATGATAACTTATTTTTGGACCTTTGCATGGAAAATAATAAAATACAAAAAAATCAAAAAATATTATAAAAAAATATAATAGTGAAAAAAAGGATGTCAAAGCGCCTTAAAAATGGTCAAAAATTGGTTGAAGAGGTTCTAAATTATAAAGATTAAAATTTAACAGTATTTTGTTGACTAATGAGAGCCCTATTGATAAAGAAAATTCAAGTTGAGGAAGAAAAGTTCAAAATTAGATGTTTATGGACTCAATTAAATTTTATTGAAGGTTTAATTGAATTTATGGAGGTTTTGATTGCAAGAAAAATTGATTTTGGAGTTAATTTGGGCTTTAATTGGAAGAAATTAAAGTTCTGTGGGCAAATTATAATTTTTAAGAGTTAATTTGGACAAATCAGGGGCTGCATAAATATTAAAGTTTGATGGTCAATTAATTTAATTAAGAAAATCCAAAATCAAAAACCAAACTGGAAAACGAGTGTAAATAAAGGGGATGTAATTAAAACCAGATTAGGGTTCTAATTGAAGAAATTAGAAGTTTATTCATCAATTGAGAGTCAATTTGCATAAATTCAAGATCAAGGACTAAAGTGAAAATTATGGCCAACTTTAGGGCTGCTATTGTATTTTTGGCATGGATGCAATTACATTGATTTTGAAATCAAAATTGCAATTTAGGACTTGATCGAACAAATTACAAATTGAGGACCAATGTGAAATCTGATGTTTTTTACCACCTTTTCATTTAAATGAAACGACGTGTTTTGATTAAAACAGCGTCGTTTCATACACTGTTAAAAAAAAAACCCAAAATGGTGTTGTTTTGAATGACACCATACATCTTCTTACTTTGAATATGCAGAAAACAGGAGAAGGGAGCTTTTGTTCCCTTGTTTTCATTGTCTGTTTCTTCCCTTTTTTGTTTAAAAAGACACCGATAAAAACTCCTCACTTGCCTGCCATATTATGGAAGAAGAGGGGATGCATCCTAGGGCGATTTTGGGGTGACAGCATAGTGGCTGCCCCAGTCGTTTCACCGCCTTTCTCTGCCTATAAAAATAAAGGTAGAGAAGAGGCTGAAAGGAGACAAAAAAATGAGGGGAGAATAAGAAAGAGCAGAGAAGGTCTGGAGATGGAGGGGAAAAAAAACCGAAGAGAAAAAGAAAGAATAGACAAAAGGACAAAGGAAAAAAGTAGAGAAAAATAAAGAGAGAAGAAGAAGAACCACCGCCGACCACCTTCAGCCAAGTAGCACCATAGTTGCACCTCCTCTCCATTGCCACGAGCAGCAGCAACTCGTCAAGCAAAAGGAGAAAAGAAAACGAAAAAGAAATAGAGACTTGTGCCTTTGTACAATGAGGAAGAAGGAGGAGGAGCATCGCCGGCAACTGTAGTCCCCCACCGCAACAGCAACACCCCCCACTGTCAGTACCATGAGCAGCTGGTTGATGCCTGGTTAGTTGCACCCACCTTTACCTTCCTTCTCTAGTCACCCTTCGTTGTTCACATTACATGTAAATAGTGGAGGGTGCTCCACTGTTCTTTGTTTTTCTTTGTTGGGTTGAGCCCAACCCATGCATTTGGGCCAGGTTCAACCCAACCCACAGAACTGGGCTGGATCTGGCCCAATTTAAAAAAAAAGAAAAAATTAATTGAAAATTTTAATTTCAAATTTTGTGACTTTTCCATCTTTTACTATACGCCTTTTGCTTAATATTGATTTGTATTTTGTGCCGAAAAAAATACAAATTTGGTATTAAAACACTTGGTTTTCATCAAAAACCTCCAAAAATACAAAAAAAAAAGAAAAAAATATTTTCCAAAAATACAAAAAAAATATTTTCATGCATACAACCAAATGTTTCAAAGCTAAAAAAGTCATATTATGTTTTTCATACAACAAAAAACAATGTTTTAATATGCATTATGGTTTTAATAACTGGTTTATTAAAGTCAAGAGAATATTGGCCAAAATTTCAAAAACAACAATAATTTTATTTTGTTTTGTTTTAGTATCAAGGATTACAAATTTATACGTAAAATATATTTTCTAATATTAAAAAGGTATTTGTTTTTTATTAAGAACATAAAACGGTTAGGTTTTTATCTAGTAGGATAAAGATCTCATTACAGAGAAGGACTTTTTTTAAACCTTAGACAAACCAACAATTAGACATTATAACTAGACTTTAGATTTTATCAGATAAAATAATACAGCTTACCTTAGATAAGACATAGTTGGGGTATTAATACCTTCCCTTTTACGCAACCAGTCTCCGTACCCCATCTTTAGGACCAGTTAAGGTTCCTAGTGACCAGAACACTAAGTGGTGACTCCCCGTTTATATTTTACTGATAAAAGACAAGAATTTATTGTCTATCTATATTTTCCAAATAAACCCTTACACATATTTTTCCTAAAGGGTAGACGATCGCTGCGACACCACACATTTGCGACACTAGGGACTAGTAATAAGCTAGTTGAGGGGTGTGATTATTATTTAAAAGTGTATTTTTATCAAGGTTTTACATTAGCATTTTGCACTTGAAGTATCAATAACTCCTTAACTAAAGCATGTTTTATAATAACAATTCCGATACTATAAGATACCTTTAATTTATGGTAAATGTTCGTCTTAAATGCAAGCCTATCACATAAATCAAATGATTGATTGATGAGTTCAACTACTAAAATTGAGAAGACAAAGAGAAAGTGAAGCTTAGAAAAGAGATGTTGGTTCAGTCCAAACTAGAACGTTGTTTAGTCATTGGGTCATATCTAGAGCTATAGAACTTGGATTTGGGTATGATCTATATGGATGGAAAGCTAAGACATAGGCCTAAAACATTTATAGGAAGGCAAGATTCAATTCTACTATTTGGAAGTCCAAATTTTAGCAACAATGTAGAAGTTTGATTATATCTTGCAGCCCAAACACTATTTAGTGTTCAGCCCATATCTTAAGTTCTATAAGTTTAAATGACCTCGAGTTTTTTTTGTTGAAAAACTGAAACAATTTTTTAGAATATTCATGATTCAAGTCTACTTGAATTTTGACGTTAATAATGACCTTTTTGGCAAATAAGAAGATAAGAATTGTCACTAAGTCAAGAGTTGACCACCTACTCAACAATTAATCATCAAATCAATAGTTTCTAATTTTGGCCTATAAAAGAAGGCATTTTCCATGTATTTAGGCATCTAGGTTTTCAGATCAAGATCATGCTTTTTATTTCTTTTTTTATATTTTTATAATGTTTAAGTTTTATTTCATGTTATATTTTTCTTAATTTCTTGTCTATGCTTTTCATTTCCTTTACTATACTTATGTTCTTACTTTATTTACTTATGTTTGTTTTCTTCATTATGTTTAGTTGAGTTTATTATGTCAAGGTGAAAAGGTTACACTAATGGTGTAAGAATAAGTATAGTGTAAACTCAATATGGATTTTAATATTTGATACTAACATGTTTTGTATTTGTTATCTTGCTCACTCTTAATACTTTGCTTATTAAATGATTAATTTATATTTATATTGTATAACAACTGGCACAACAAATCTTGGTACTTTCATAGCCCAATGATATGGTATAACCTACACTTATGCTATAAAAGGAACTTGATTTGTTGTTAACATAAGTTATAATTATGAATACCTGACAACATTTACAAATATCAACATTATTCAAATTAACTAATGTAATTATATTAATGATTTGTAATCCTATTGGAACCTCTTTTGTATGTGTTTTCCAATTGAGTAATAAAAAGTATTTATATTATACTTGTTTCACTTATGCTATGAAAAAAATTTGATTTGTTATTAATATAAGTTATAATTATGAATACCTGACAACATTTACAAGTATCAACATTATTCAAATTAACTAGTGTAATTATGTTAACGATTTGTAATCCTATTGGAACTTCTTTTGTATATGATTTCCAATTAAGTAATAGAAAATATTTATACTATACTTATTTGAAATATTATTAATGGATCATAACCTTGACATTTGTTTTTATCATTATTTAATCCTCATATTAATTTTACAATCTCAAAATCCTCTTTAACTTATTATTATTATTACTATTATTATTATAATTATTATTGTTGTTATTATTATTATTATTATTATTTATAATTTATATAATTAATCACCCTATGATTCGACTCCGATCTTACTAGATTATTTATTACTTCAACATTTCTACAGTTGGAAAAAAATATTAATTTGTTAGTCATCAATAATTTTTAAAAATATATCAAAATAATAATTTTATGATATATTATAATCTCTTTTGCAATAGTATGAGCCATCGTTGATCATGAACATCGAATCTATTTATGTGAACAATGCATCCAGGCTTCAACCAAAATCAGACAAGTGCTGCATCCACTCAATGTTAAATACAGCTTCCAGTTCTTGATGCGCATGTCCAGTACAAAAGCTTTGCACATCGAAAGGATTCTAGTGAAAGCACTTACAGGGTATTTCTGAAGCCAAAAGCACATGGAGTTTTTACTTGTCGAAATAACCAAGCAACTATGTATAGAACAACTGCCATAGAAACCTAAAATGCTATCTGGAAGCATAAACACTATGAGGTGATATATGAATTCCAAGAACAGTATGAACAAAAAAATAAAGCACTACGAACTTCTGTACTTGAAACATAGCCAAAAACTCAACCGTAGAGCAAAGGGGACTCGGGCTGCAACTTGGGAAGACACTTATCATATTAGCCTTTAGTTCTCGTAATTGTGATGCTTCCTTTCCTACCTTCTGTGTGAATTTTAGTTTTGCCAACAACAGGCTTCCCGGAAAAAGCGGACATGGGGTAAACGACAGGTTCTTCATCCCTTAACTTTGCTTTCGATAGTGGAGTGTGGATCCGCTGGTTTATTTCATTCAAAGTAACATCTCCGTGAACCCCACAAGGTTTGATAAAAGCAAATGGATAGGCAACAGGAATAGCTAACTTAGTGGGTGCCTGGATGAAGGACTTCATACCTGAGGGTATAAAGACAGAAAGTCAGGCATAGTTACTTTCTATTTTTCAATTTTTGAGCAGTAAAAATCTCCAAAACAAAAAAAAAAAAAAAAAAAGAGGAAAGAAATCCAGTTATCTCCAAAGACATAAATAACATTAAGAATAAAGCCAGGAATGTGATAGGGGCACGGTACTTCTATGTTTTTATCTTGCTTTTCCTCCTCCGTTGGCCGAAAGGAAACAGAAACCAGAACAAAATCAAGAAAATATCAAACTCAATGACCTCAAGGAGAGATACTACCAAGTCATCAAAGGATATCTAATAAACAAGGGATGATAGCACATTAAGCTTTAGTATATACAAGCAAAAGAAAAAGAATATTTGAGAATTGAGAGACCTTTAAAAACAACATTTCGAGGTGTCGGAGTAATACACTTCTGAACCACATTAGCTTCAAACTGAGGAGGGTCATTGCAGAAATCTACAGCAGCAAACTAACGTTTATACACTGTACATGAGTCATGACACCTAAATGCTTAATAAAAAAGGACTCGGACACTTTCTGAACTAGAAAGTTAATTTCATATACCTGAAATATCAATTTGAATATCAGATGCTCCAGGGAGATTCCTGGTTCTCACATAACAAAACAATTAGATTGTAGTTGTAGGGTAATAAGGTGTAGAAGTCTAAAGTTCAAACAAAGCATACATATCATTGGGACTAAAATGCATCTCCGAGTCATTAAAACAGTCTGTGATCCACCGCTCAGATGACTGATCCAGGCCATTGTAACTGGAGGCAGAAATATCTACAAAAATATGACGCGCTGCGATTAGCAAGCCTAGCATGGATATTCAAGTTCATATCTGTTTTAGCAACAGAACTTTGCAAGAGATAAACCTTGATAACCAGAATCCCACTGTGATGCCTGTGGGAAAACTTCTTCAAGTGACTCTTTTGTCTCCTAAAGATGGAACCAAAAACATAAATTATGGAAATATTCAATACAAATACAAGGGAATATAAGGGACTAATCCGTTCTCTAAAGTAAATGGAGTGCACATTGATACTCCACATGAATAACATAGGAAAATAAGAGGTCAAAGAAAGAAAAGATGTTCAATTAGCTCAGTCTGATATAAAGACAAATCTGAAAACTGCATTGTAGGCAATATTCTCAAAGCTCCATGCCCATTTCATCAGATAACTAACATTAATCACCATACCTACCACAAATGGTTTGCATGGATACACATTGTATGATTTCATAACCAACAACAAAAAACTAGCATCGTATAAAATTCAAATTTCACATTCTTCCATCATCAGTTAGGTCACAGTGTTCCTAATGAAAATTCCAGCTTATTTAAGTTTGAATCCCAACTTGGAAGTCCTGAATTCAAATTTCAATGGGTTGGAGGCATAGGGCCGATGAGATAGAGGACCACATCTCATGCCCAACATAGCAGAACCAAATTAAAAATAACAACGTGCTTTAGGCATGAGTAAATAGATAAGCAGCACTGACATTTGATTTTAAGAATATAGGAGTTATTTCTTCATCACAAAGGGGGGAATCTTCTAATTGAGTGTCAAACTGTAGCCGACGCCTTTTTAATTGCAAGCAAGTCCCCCTCCATTCTTCATGTTCCTTGTTCACGTTAGCTAAAATCCACTCTTACAAATGAGATAGAATAACCAGCAACAATCAATTACCAAAAAGCAAAAAAGGAAAAAGAAAAAAGGAAAAAAGTAAGTTGGAACTAAAACACCACCATCATGATCAACATGGCAAGCCAAATCCCCACAAGCCTTAACCGGAGTTGTCTCATCAAGCATGTAGGAAAGATCTTCTCCGTTCGGAGTCACTTCATCCCATAAACATTGAGATATGTCTATTAAACAAAAAAAGAAGAGCAACTATACATCAGCAACTTCATTTATTTTTGGTGTTTCATCAAAACACGAGGTGCTGAAATATATATCTTCTCTGGGGAGAAAATTAGGATGCACTGCAGCAGCAACTTACCACCATTGAAAATTTTTTGAAGACAGTGCTCATCACGTTGCCAACCCCAATGTTCCCCGTTGCCACTTCACAATGCAAAGAAGAAAACAAATTTAGAATTACTCACACATATCTAACATCATAACAGGAAGCATAAGAAAATCACAAGGAAAATTTAGAATTACACACGCATATCTAACATCATAACAGGAAGCATAAGAAAATCACAGTACAGTTTAAGATGAACGAATTAAGTAGGGAGAGTAATGCATAATCACAAACCACACAAGCAAAAATCAAACCCGAAATGGAACATACAGAAGCACGATAAAACCAAACAGCAGCAAATAACATCGTAAAATTGCAGCAATTGGATCAAATTGTTGTGTAGTCCTAACCATGCACTAAAAAAAAAAAAACAAAAACCACACACACATAACCATCTTTTGGATCTCTTAGCCCAGATGATAACATTATACCACAATCTTTGCTTAGGTAAATTTGCATGTCATTATAAATTTAGCATAAGAAGACAATAAGTAAGTAAAATACTGTAAAAAAGCGAAAGCCAAAACAGAAGATAGAATGACCCACCAGTACATTCAGAGCCCACATCCCTCATCATCATTTTAGTCCCAACAAAAAATAGAAAAAAGAAACTGCATTTCCAAATAAACCCAGTAAAATTGAAATTAGATATTTACTTGTCATTGCTATTATCCATCGCCTCCTCTTCTCTCCCTCACTACTCGCTACCATAAAGAAGACAAAAAAGATCCGGCTATGGCTATATACTATATGGTATGTAATACACAGAACAAGACAGAATAGATAAATATTTTCGTACTACTATCTAATCGCAGTATGTATGTTATCGGCGTGAGATGGCCGTTCCTTCTCTCTCTTCTTTTTCATCTTTTATTTATTTATTGCATTTGCTCAAGAAAATCTCACGGATTTTTTCATGTTTTCCCTTTATAAAAAATAAAAGAAAGAAACGGGGAGAGGAAAATGAGTGCACCCGAATTATCTTTAATTATTTAATTAGATGTTTTTTAAAAATGTTTTTGTTTTGAAAAATAATATTAACTAATATTTTTTATTATTATTATTTTGATATATTGATATTAAAAATAAAAAATTATTTTAATATATTTTTAAGTAAAAAACACTTCTAAAAAATATAATGTGTCACAATATTAAATTATACAATATAATAAAAAAGCTTAATATCCATTTACTGTTCACTAAATATAAAATAGTATGAATTGGAGCAATGTAATTACATAATTATTCTTATTACATAGAGTTGCAAGGAAAACAGGAAAGAGATATGATTGTCTCTTTTACTTGGATGCATTTATCATTAAAGAGATGATTGAAAAAAAAATAGTCAGTTTCAATTTTGGTGGGGCTATAGGTCTTAGGATGTGGACACTTGGCACTAGGCCTAGCAAGCCCTGAGCACTGAGCTAGACCCCACACGCCATGTGGGGTGATATGATCAAAGAGTTGATGTCTTATCCCAAGTGCTGGAGTGTCAAAGTAATAAATAATCCGGCAAGACCGGGGTCGAAACACAGGTAAGTTAACTATATAATAATAATAATAATAATAATAGTAATAGTAATAGTAAGAACAACAACAATAATAATGGTGGTGAAGATGAGTTAAAGAGGACTTTGAAATATAAGATTAATATGAAGATTATATAATGATAAAAATAAATGTCAAGGTTAGAGGATATACTAATAGTATTATAGATAAGTAAGATATAAACTCTTTATTAATTATCAATATGATCATATTCATCATCTTATTTATATAACATCATACTTATAAATTTTATCAAGTATTCATGATGCTAACTTATGTTGACAACAATCATGTTCCTCTCATAATAACGATGTCGGCCGAAGACTATGAATGATCAAGTATTTGATGTACCAAGTGTTATACAACATAAATCTAGATTAACCATTTAACAACTAAGGTATTAAGAATTAATAACATAAAAATGATAAGACATGTTAAGAGTAAGTTGTTTAGGATATAAGTATTGAAATTCATAATGAGTTTATATTATACTTATCCCAACACCATTAATGAAACCTTTTCACCTTGACATAATTAACTTAGCTAGACGTTATGAAGAAGAAAAACTTAAAGAAACAATACAAGAACATAAACATGATATAAGTTAACTAAGTATAGTAAAGGAAATGAAAAGGATGAATAAGAGATTAATGAAAGCAAAACTTAAGCATTACAAAAATATAAAGAGAAAGAGCAAGAATATGATCCTGATATAGAAAATAAGATGCCCAAATGAATGGCAAATGCCTCTATTTATAGGCTAAAATTCAGAACTATTCATGTGGTAATTGATAATTGATGTAGTGGCCAACTATTGATTTGTGA